TATATAATCAATTGGTTTTTATTTTTGATGTAATATCTTCTAATCTTTTTTAAAAACTTAATCATTCAGTTGTCGTAAAATATACATTAGGATGTTGAACTTTAGTTACGATTTCATTATCTGTGTACGTGTTTGTGAATACTTGGAATTATGCCAACGTAAAACTAAGTGCAATAGAAGAAATGTATAAGTCCATGTTTGCACTTATTGTATGTACTCATATTTTGAGCTTGTTTCCAAAACAATTTACATCAATGTTAAAATTAATAAATTTAACTTAAGAAGAAAGCTAACCTCTTGACAATTTGTCAGTAAAAATCTCCATAACTGTAGCCATAATTAAATCCGCTGACAGTTTACGGTTATTTATCAACTTACGATCCTTTGCTTTACTTGCTTCTGCTCTATTTAAATGTCATTGAGAATCGATGGCTAGTGATTTGAGTCTTAGGTAACGCATTAACATTTGAAATAAACTGGAAATGTTGAGGGTAATGTTCAAGAACTTAACAGAAGTCGTAGTAGGAATCATTATCTTAGAATTCATCATCTGTTCTGTCTACCTCATGAAATCGACACACAGTCTGGTTCACAGCTATAACTAGAAAACTTGATTCATTCGTTTCTATGATAATATACTTAGTACTACAACTAATAATTAATACAGTTATCCCAGGGAAAATGTACACATTAATGTATTAACGTAACGTCGAGTGATTATATTGTAGTAACATTTATGTTTTCAGAATAAGCCTAAAACTGGGACTTCATCGACTGAATTATTTCGTTATAAAACATGACAAACAGGTGTAATTAATATTTCTATGGATTGATAAAATCGTCTACGTGATTATTTCTTTTATTTTAAGCGGCTCATCCTATGAGTAATAGCACTGGATTATGTTGGCTCAGTGACGATCGTTTGTTAAGTTCAGCGCACGATGGAAGCATTCGTATATGGCGTGTGTAGAATAAAGTACAGTTCGTATTCTATCAGTCTCTTGAAATGGTGTTTCCCAGAATATTTGTTTACGATTTGATTCATGTACTTGTTTCCCGCTTTCAATATTTATGTAATATGAAGTGTTTTGGTTTTCACTTTTTTTCTTGAATACCAGTATTTTTATTTCTATCAGGTCAGTTTTTAAAAAAAATTAAAATCTTTTTTTAGTCTAAACAGGCTTTTCTTCGCTTTTTATAATTCAATAGACACTTAACTTATATAGATATAATCCCGTGGATGTCAATGTCATATTTGACAAAATCTGCGGTTACAGACCGGGAAAATTCATAAAACTTATTTGAGCTTAACCGGAGTGCGATTGAAGATCGACTTTAATAGCTGCAATCGCACCGATGACTAAGTAACTTATTGTCTGGATTGGGATTCACTTTAGCAGTATAAAGATTTGAATTTCTGTACATAAAGTGAGCGGTTTGAGACTGGCTTCATGTCCGTCCAGGTATCTGTATAGAACATTCGCTGGAAATTCGAATGTCCGGCGCTTTAACCGGATTCCAAACCAATGGTGCACATGGGCTCCAGTATCCTGCGGGAACAAATGGCGTATGAACCAATCGTTGGTCACCGGCTACCATGGGACTGCATCTCCTTACGATGCTCCACTGCCTTGTGGGTTAGACCTTTAGGTCAAAGGCTCGGGGAGTGGCCCCCTAAGATAACCACCTGCTTCGGTTTGGGCACCCGGGCAGTATCACAGCCCACACACAAATGATGAACTCTTTATGTCTATGGAAATTACTTTTCTCGCTTCGAAAAACAATCAATTGATTCAAATTATTATCATTACAATTATTGTCATTATTAATACTATATATTATTAATATTATTGTCATTATTATTATTATTTTCCACATTATTCACCCTCTTTTATACTTATACAGCGGCTCGTCTTTGGTGGAAATTCGACTGTATCTAAACGTTCTCGAGTCACTGTCCGGTTGAAAATTGTATGTTACCACCGAATACGAGGACTGAAGCAGTTTTTCTGAAACCACGTGCACCATTCAAACTGGCTGCCTTCAACGTTCGCACATTTATGCAGGTCGGACAACAGATAGGGCTGGCTATGTCTTTGGAAAGTCTTAATATCGATGTTTGTTGTCTATCCGAGACCCGTATTCAAGACTCTGGCGAAGTACTACAAATTCGATCTCCATCTGTCGCTTCGAAAAGCTTGTTTTACGTGCGCTTATCCGGGGACCCTGTGGCATCTTCGTCTGGTCTTGCTGGCGTTGGTGTCGCACTAAGCGCTAGAGCTGAGGCAGCACTAGTCGATTGGATCCCCATTAACAGTCGGTTATGTGCTGTTAGATTAGAAAGTTCCATCAAAGTGAGAAGAAATCGGCGTGAGAAACGATGTCTTTTCGTCATCTCCGCCTATGCCCCGACAGATTGCAGCCCGGATGCAATCAAGGATGAGTTTTACCACCAGTTATCAGTTCTTCTCCAGAAAGTGCGTTCGACAGATATTGTAGTACTAGCCGGAGACTTGAATGCTCAGGTCGGGCGTCTAGGCACAGAAGAGAGTCGTTTAGGTGGCCGATGGGGACTCGTTGGTCGCAGGTCAGATAACGGGGACCGTCTACTGCAACTTTGCACAGACCACAACCTGTTTCTGGCTAGCACTAACTTTCGGCACAGTCATCGCCGATGTGCCACCTGGCGTCCTCCCTCTGCATCTCAAGCCTGGACTCAGATTGATCACATCGCGATCAGCTACCGCTGGCGTGGTTGTGTACAAGACTGCCGCTCCTTTTGGAGTACCTATCTGGACTCTGACCATGCCTTGGTCTGCGCCAATCTTGCCTTACTTTTCAGTGGACAACGAAGTGACCGCCATCAACGGATTGATGTTAGCAAGCTGGTTGCAACTTCTGTTGCAAGTAAGTATCGAACCGAGCTAGCCTCTAGGCTAGCTACCACTCCACCGAAAAGTATAGATGAGCATTGGTTGCAATTGCATGACGCCATGAAAATGGCGGGAACAGTCAGTTGTGGGTTTGCGAAACGTCCCGCTTTTAAGCACTGGGTTTCTTCTGGTTCCTTACAACTCATTGAAGCCCGTCGGTCTACTCCGGGTGACCGTGAGTTTGACCATAAACGAAGGATGTTACGTAAGGAAATTGGGCAAAGCTTGCGTAAGGACCGAGAAGCCTGGTGGTCGAAGCGTGCTAATGAGCTGGAAGCAGCAGCTGCATCTGGTAACTACCGGAAGCTCTTCCAACTCATCCGAGCCACTGGCAGCAAGAAGTCTGGTGTGAGTGAAACAATCTGCGAGGATGATGGGATGCCAATCACTAACATCCATCGACGTCTTGGACGATGGGCAGAATTTTTCGAAGGGCAGTTCAACTGGCCTGCTGCTCCGGCAACATCGGTCAGACTGTCCTGCCCTCCATGGCCGGTGACGACTGATCCACCAAACGAGGAGGAAGTCCGCAAGGAACTCCAACTCTTGAAGCGTTACAAATCACCTGGCCCAGATGACTTACCTCCGGCTCTTTTTAAAGATGGTGGTGAGTTTTTGACTAAGGAATTGACGACGTTGTTTACAAAGGTTTGGGAACTAGATAGTGTACCAACGTCATGGAATGAGTCGATAGTTGTCCCTATCTTTAAAAAGGGTTCACGTCGTTCCTGTAACAACTATCGGGGGATAAGTCTACTTCCGATTGCGTCCAAGCTATTGGCTTCCATCATACTTCGTAGGCTGTTCAAAACCCGAGAAAGATTGACTCGAGAGGAGCAGGCTGGGTTTCGTTCTGGTCGAGGATGTATTGATCATATCTTCACCCTCCGACAAATGTTAGAACACTGCCATGCTTATCAAAGGCCAACAATCGTAGTGTTTCTTGACATCAGGGCTGCCTTCGATTGGTTGGACAGGACTGTTCTCTGGAATTGTCTATTGAAGAAGGGTGTGCCTGAGAAGTTTATTAACATCCTAAAAGCCCTATATAAAAACACCTCAGGCAGAGTGAGGGCATACAACCACCTCTCTCCATTGTTCCTTTCGAGCAGTGGGGTTAGGCAGGGTTGCCCAATCTCACCATTCCTCTTCAACTTTGCCATCGATGACATTCTGAGAACAGCTCTGATGAATGTAAGTAATGGGGGTGTGGATCTGTTGCCTGGAGAAAGACTTCTCGACCTTGAGTATGCCACCGACTTCGGTGGCTTGGACATGTTCTACGAATGTCGTCCCAGAGAATTCCACGTCGTGCATTATTTGCCGACTCTGGGACTGGTTGGAAGAAGCGGAGAGGTGGTCAGTGCATGACATGGTGTCGTGGCATGAAAGAAAGCTGCAAAGGACTGGCTTGTGTTGGTCCTTCACGACTCCCTGGCTGGGGTCCGAGAGATGGTGCTACACAGTGGCTAGAGACGTTATCAGATATGGCTCAGAATAGAAGCCAGTGGCGATCCTGCTGTAACCTTCTTTTACTTTCTTCATAAAAAGTGGTTGTGTCTCCCTTACCTGAAAGATTTCTTCTGATTGTACCTTTCCGTTCCTTCATTTCTACCATACTACCTTACACCAATCTCTTCGTTATTGTTCTCTTATCTACTAACTTTTAGAAAAATCCAGTCTCGGCAATTTCAGTGCACTTAACTATTCGAACCAACCTTTTAAAATGTAGTAATACAACTGTCTATCAACTAATCCATCAATGAACAGACAACTTATCTGAAAATCATACGCGAAGATCTACTTTTAAATATTTTCCAAATGATTGTTGTTTGTGATAAAAATGTGCAAATCAAACTCGACAGACCTTAATAAATCACGAACACGAACTAGTTATAAAGCTACTGCGACACAAAATCCTGCGTAGATGTTAAAGCAGCACAATCACTTTACCAATTAAAACTTTCATAACAATTCAGTCACAAAAGAATGAACCATGTTCAAGTTTTTGTATTTGTAAACAATTGGGAAATTATTCAAAAAAATATTAGAAATAGTGTATTGGACCTATAAGTTTGAGTCTACAATCTTAAGGCATTCATCTGAAAATTCGACGAAAATAGGTTCACGCATAACATTTTCCAATGCAGAGTACGGTTTATTTGTATCATTCAAAAATCGAAGCAGACTCCGGAGATGATGGTTCTTCAGTAGATCTCGAATTTTATCCGAGTATTCTGCGTAAGAATGACAATTAACAGTAATACTTACTTAAGCCTTCTAAAATTTTCTTCGGAACATAGTCGACCATCTCATCCTCTCGTTCGACAGTAGCATGCACAACCCTTGGTACACAGGTTTCCGGTTTGCACTCATTTTGTTTATGTTTTTGGTAACAGGCAAGTGAGCAACTAAAGTATTAGTGAACTGACAATTCAGCATACTATGGTGCAATACACCTCGGACATTTGTACTTGTAAGTTTCAATTGAACAAATTGCGCACAAAACCATTTCGTTAAAGGCCAAGATCTTATAGATATCAACTGATAGTATTTTAGTTTGTCTGAAATAAAAACATTTTAGATACAAAATCGTTCTCGAGTAAAACGACAAAGGATGTGCTAAATTTTCTTCTGGACAACGTTTTGGGACTTTATGTTCACCATTATGAAGTTTCTGGGTAAGAGATGCGGGCATGGTGGCGCTTGTATTGTGTTAGGCGTTTCTCTGTATTCGTCCTTAATTTTATAGTCTTAAGAAACTCAATTCTCTAGAACAATACAGAATAAACTGCCCTGCCATAGACTTTTAAATTCTTTAGAACACGTGAAACTTGTTGCAACCACGCATGTTTGTAGTTGCATAACGCAACCTAACTCCTATTTTACCCACGTTTTAATTTATTCACGACTTTGTAAGACTATCATGGTATCCTTTTTCCATTTTTTCCTGTGGGTAATTTTATATTTTCATTTCAAGATATTATAGAAACAAGTATGCTCACTTATGTGGGGATCTCAATAGACAGGATATCTTACGAAAATGTATTGAGAAACTAGCTTTAAACTAGACGCAGATACAAAAAATATATATCTGACGGACCTAATTTCGTGTGAAGCAGAAGTTTATTTACTTTTCTTATATCAAGGACGTAAAGGATCAAAGTTGTATTTTAGGCAATAGTCAGTCAGTCAGCTACAACGTAGGACCAGGCACATGTATGCATCGGCCCAGGTTGCCATACCTCATTAGCACAGCAAGATGAACACTGGATTCATAGGAGTGGTTAGGTCAAAGGTGGTAATATATAGGAGAAAGATTGCAATAAGGATATAGTATAGGAAGAAAGAATTAGTTCGTAGAAAGAAAGATGTGAAGTGATCTTAATCTCTTAGTTTAAGAGAAGACAGAGAGTGTATACACCGACGCCATTGTGATCGATTCTGAGCCATGTCACCAAGGGTCTCCAACCATTGGTTACGAAAGTCACGCGGACCCCAACCAAGTAGTCTGCATCTACCAACATGGCTCAGACTAGAAGTTAGTGACTTCAGGCACTGATGCCACGTTTTGGTTTGGCCGCCCCTAACTTTCTTCCAACCATCCCCTACACCGGTTAGCATTGCACGTCGCGGTAATCGGTGTTCAGGCATACGTAATACGTGGCCCAACCATCTCAGTCGATGAAGATTCATAACCTCATCAACTGATTTACCATCATTCCCTAATACCCTGCGTCTAACCTCACTATTACTTACCCGGTGATCCCAGCAGATGCCAGCAATATTTCTAAGGCATCTGTGGTCAAATACTAGTAGCTTACGGGTGTCTTCTACTCTTAAGGGCCATGTTTCGCTGCCGTAAATTAAAACAGAACGGACAGCCGCGCAGTATACTCGTCCTTTTATTGATAGACGGATATCTCGCCTCCGCCAAAGGTGACGTAAGTTGGCAAAAGCCAAACGAGCTTTACGAATCCGTGCTGAGATTTCGTCAGACACCAACCCATTAGGGCTGATCAGACTTCCAAGATAAGTGAAGTTGTCAACACGTTCGACTACTTCACTCCCTATCCTTAGTTCAGGTGTTGACGCAGACCAGTCCTGAAGCAACAACTTGCATTTAGAGGGAGAGAAGCGCATCCCAAACATTCTGGCATTGTTGCTTAGTGCTACCAGAAGACTCTGCATTTTGTCAGCGTCTTCACCAAACAGGACTATGTCATCTGCATATTCTAAGTCGATAAGTGGACCTCCTGGAAGGAGATCAATACCCGAGAATTCAGTCGACGAGAGTGTTATTTCCATCAATAGGTCTATGATGAAGTTAAACAAAAATGGAGAAAGTGGGCAGCCTTGACGGACACCACTTGAGGTTGTAAAGGTAGATGACAGTTCGCCATAAGCCCTGACTCGACTAGTAGTGTTCGAGTAAAGAGCCTTCACAAGGTTTATGTACTTCTGAGGTACGCCTTTCAATGACAGACACTGCCACAGAGTCTCGCGGTCTACAGAGTCAAATGCTGCTTTTAAGTCAAGAAAGACCACCATCGTCGGACGCCGATAGGTATGCCTGTGTTCTAGAACCTGACGAATGGTGAATATGTGGTCGATGCAGCCACGACCAGGTCTAAAGCCAGCTTGGTTCTCTCGTGTTTGTAGTTCACGAGTCTTAGTTAGGCGTTTGATAATTATCGAGGCCAGTATTTTAGATACTATGTTTGTTAAACTAATCCCTCTGTGGTTGTCACAGGATGATTTTGACCCTTTCTTATATATTGGGACGATAAGTGATTGCGACCAGTCAGATGGGATAACGTCTAACTCCCAGATTTTAGCCAAAATATTAGTCAACCTAGTCGCTAAAATTGGACCACCATCCTTAAAGACTTCTGGAGCCAGTCCATCTGGACCAGCTGCCCTTCCTCGTTTCAGATTAACTATAGCCTTCTCAACTTCAGCAAGAGTTGGGGGACCTACTTCAATGTTCCATTCACTTTGTCTGGGAATGGAGGGTAGTTGTAGAGTAGCTGAAGGCCAGCTGAACTGTTCTCTAAAATGTTCCGCCCATCGTTCTAAACGTCTGGACTGGGAGCAGATGAGAGTATCATCTTTTTCCGAAATAATCTCACTTACACTTGACTTATTAGTTCCAGTTTCTTTTATTAGTCTGTAAAGCTGTCTTGTGTTCCCTATAGTCGCCGCCTTTTCCATCTCTTTTGCTTTCGTTACCCACCACTGCTCACGGTCGTTCCTTAGACTTTTTCTTAACCTAGATCTGATTTGTTTACGCTCTTCATCATGTTCAGAACCTGATGGGACGAGTTTGCGAGAATCCATCAGTGTGACAGACCTTGAAGAAATCCACTGGTTCCTTGTAACTCTGTGGTTTAAGTCACTAACAGATGTCACTGCTGTTTCCACAGCTGCTTGTATGTCCTTCCAAGCAACATCTGGGTCAGCCTCGTCTTCACAACTAACTAAGTGTGACCTCAGTTGTTCCTGGAACCTACTTTTGGTTTTCTCGTTACTCAACTCAGTTCTAATGGGTCTTTTTAATGTGGCTTTTTTGCGTCCATTGAGGCGCAAGCAGATGCGTGCCCGTATTAGGGCATGGTCGGAGTCCAAGCAGGTGCTCCAGAATGAACGACAATCTTCTACCGACCCTCTCCAACGATGACTGATGGCAATATGGTCTATTTGAGTCCATCGTTGGTTTGGTGTAGGGGGTCGCCATGTTAGACGATGTCTCTCCTTATGCTTAAAATTTGTGTTTGCTAAAAATAAACGATTGTCTGAGCATAGCTGCAGCAGACGATCACCATTATCTGTTCGCTGTGTCGGAATACTAAAATATCCACCTAAATGCCTTTCTGTTTGGTTTAAACTGCCTATCTGAGCATTAAAATCACCTGCTACGAGTACTATGTCTGAGCGTTTAGCTTTCTGAAGAAGTTCGGATAGCTTTCTGTAAAATTCATCTTTCACTTCATCTGAGCTGCAGTCAGTGGGAGCGTAGGCAGAAACGACAAAAAGGCAACGACGTGTGTCCCTATCCTTCCGAGTTCTTACGTAGCCGTTCAGCCGAACAGCACATAGACGACTGTTGACGGGGATCCACTCTAGCAGTGCTTGTTCGGCCCTTATGCTTAGTGCTATGCCTACACCTGCCAGTCCACGAGAACTTGCCATCGGGTCACCGGACACACGAAGGGTGTATCTCGTTGGCTCTCCGTCTTGCCGAGGTGAGGTCAAGTGAATGACCACACTGGAATCCTGTATGCGTGTTTCGGAGACACAGCATACATCAATGGAAAGAGACTCTAGGGTTTTAGCCAAGGAAGCCTGCTGACCGATTTGACATAGGGTGCGTACGTTGAAGGCTCCAATGTGTAGTTTGGAGCGAGGTTTCAGTAGACCTGGGACAGTGTTTTGCGCACTAGAATCGTTGGCTACGGTGACACTTGAGGTGGAAGCCGAGAGAGGAAATACAGAGTTGAAAGTCGATGTAGGAGGAATAATAGGAATTGAAGAAGGAGGTTGATTATGAATACAGTGGTCTTGAGTGCTGTTAGAAGTATGAGGGCGGTTATCACTTCCCGGTTGCCCACACCGTGGAAGGGTTCTTCTGGAGGTACCTGAAAAGGAAATTGGATTAAAGGTGGTCTTAGTGAACTGAGAGCGTGACCGCAGTGCCCAAGGGACAACTGCTTGAGGTCGGTCACACACGACCTTGTTATGGGTAATTTTTGTGTTAGCTCCGTACTTATTGAGACCTTACCGCCGGAGACGGATATCCGTGGGATAAGGCGAGGTGTGCATTTTTAGGGTCGACCTTTTCTAACCCCACCCCTCCTTGTGGGAAGGCAGCATCGCTGTCATGCTGGTTGTCTGAAGGAAACACCTTACTGCTGTCACACCTCTGTACAGTCAGCAGTACGACTTCGCCTTCGGACCTTGGGTTTGTTGCTTTTAGTCTTACCGCTCTTCAACCGACCTGTCTGACATGGTAGGACCTTGAGGAACGGTTGTTCCAGCCAGTATAGCTCGGTTGCTTCATCACGATAGGCAAGCCCGACCACCACGTCAAGGTAGCAACAACGGTCGGGTTTTAGGCAATATCTGAAAGACGACTCAAGTCACTGAATTAAACAACCTGCAGGGCCCTAGACAGGGAGTCGCGACAGTCTAAAGAATGCCATCCTACTAGTCTTTGCAAAAAGCGGTCTTGAGTCATAGACTAACTAGTAATCCGCTTTCCTCTCAAGTTCAAGAGTCGTTAAACGAAGCATTAAATAAAAACATCTGTGATGATATTTCAAGCACATAACCATCCCGCCAGTCAGCTTCAATATGATTTTATATGAGTTGTCATCACCCAGCGTCAACACACATGGCGTTGTAGCGCTGTGTTCAGATACAATGTACTTATGTTAGGTTACGAGCGGTTACGTTTTATTGGTTATTAAATACAGTTTTCGAATACTATGTAATCTGAATCAGCAACGATATGAATCAAGGTAAGGATATAATATACTGACGAGATTGAGCACTTTATCAGACAATCACGAAAAGTTGTCAATTACATAGAATTTATTAATTAACAAAATGACAATGAAATGAACTCAACATATTAGGACAGTGTTGTGCGTATCATAGTATTAAAGTTTTCGCCACAAACTGACAGCAGCCAGAATG